GCTGCTCCCCTCAGCAGTGTGTTTCATTCAATCCACCTGTTCTGTTCCCACCTCACTCTGTCTCTGGTGAATCCTCTCCCCCCCCACACCTCTGGCCTGTACCCTGTTTCTTGTATACATAAACAAAATTAAAAAAAAAAAAAGACTGAACAAATTAACTGATATTGGGGATATGAAGCAACTGGAATGCTCATACATTACTGATAGCATACTGTAAAACTGTACAACTAACTCTGGAACATTGGGCAGTTCCTTACAAAGTTAATCATACATACCAAATACTAGTAGGTATTTACTCAAGAGAAATAAAAACATGTTCACATAAAAATTCACATTTGAACACTTATAGCAGCTTCATATATATCAACAAATGAAAAACTACATACATTTATAAGTATATAAAGACATAAATTGTTGCATATCTGCACAAAGGAAAAACACTCAGCAATATAAAAATAAACTAATACACACCGCACCATGGATCAATCTCAATAGTATTTTTCTAAGTAAAAAAAGAACCTCAAATACAGAAGACTATACTCTATGATTCTTTATAAGAAATCTAGAAAAGAAAAAAACTGATAGAAAGCAGATCAGCAGTGCCCAGAGGCAAGGAGTAGGTGAAGGAGACAGATGACAAAAGGTTGTGAGAACTAAGTTGCGCTGTACTTAAGGGTCACCAAACCAGAGAGTAAACAGTTCAAACCAGAGAGTAAATGGCTCAGTCTTTGTGGGTCTTAGGGTCTCTGTTGTAGTTATTCGACTCTGCTGCTGTAGCATGGAAACAGATGAGATGATATATAAACAAATAAGAATGGCCAAGTACCAATAAAGCTTTATTCATAAGATGAATAGGCCACAATTTGCTAATCTTATTCTTTATCATTATTATGGATGTGGCTACGCAATTACATATATAGTTTTCAAAACTCAGTGAATTAACCACTGTAAAGTGGTATATTTATTGGGTGTAAATTATACCTCAATAGAGCAGATTTACAAAAAGATAAAAATGTTTCTCAAAGGCATAGCACAAGTTTAACCTTAGAAAAGTATATGAATGAGATTTAAACTTCTCAGGTTAGAAAAAAGATGCTAAAATGAAAGAAAAAAAAGTATCAGGATAAGGAATAGGGCAGCCCACTATGCATCTTTAAGAGGGAAAACTGAAGTTTTGAGAGGTTGAGGACATTGTCTAGTTCATGAAGCTAGTGGAAATAATTTAAATTCAAGATTGTCTGATTTCAAATTCCCAGGCAAGTTCTTTCATTTCTGTTAACTGACCTTCTACCCTTTTAAATAAAAATATGAAATAGTTGATACTTATTTCCTACAAATATAAAAATGTTACCAACTAAGGAAAATCCCAAATATATAACTTAATGTCCACAAGTGTAGGCTCAGTATAAACCACCTTGCCTTTCTTTCTATGAATCAGTCTTTCCTGTTATGAATCCTAGACTAATGATTGTAGTCTGTGAATGAAACTCTTTCATAGATCTACTCATCCGGCTGGGAAAGGTGGGTCCCTTTAATATGGAGCAGCAAATGGAAGGCATACTGTTACATCTGAGGGAACTGAAACAGGAGAATGATTTGAAAGTTTCTCTTTTCATGAGAATACTATTTTATCTTTGTTCTCCACACTGGAGATGTATGTAGTATTATCTTTTTTTAATTGCAAATGCACTATTTATCTGACATCTCGTAGGAAAATGGTGGTAGAAACTGGAACCATATAAAAACTTTTCTGATTCCCTTTTGCTATGTAAATCAGTTAACATTTAGTGGAAAGACCATTTTCAGAGAATGTGACTGAATTTTAAGCCTTTTTAGACAAAATAAAGTACAACAATTCTAGAATCAGTATGAACTTGCTTCTCATCTCTAGTCAGTCACAATATTTAAGTTCCTTTACAATGTACATGGCTTTCTAGAGTGTGGATAGGATAAAAACAGACCCTATGGCCAGATATGGGTTCATTTCATAGTTTTGCAGCTACTTAATTTGGGAATATAACATGTCTTTGTTGAGCTTCGATTCCCTTTCACAAAATGAGAATTAAAACAGCATGTTAGTCAGGAATAAATGAGCTGACACAATAAATGAGATTTTAAATGTGTCCAACACTTCTCATATAGAATAAGGTAAAAAATTCATCATTAGTAATATTACATGCTTACCTTTAAAAATTCTAACTCTGTTTCTTTTTCAGAAGCTCCCACATAGGTATTATGCAATTTGGGCAAGTCTTCTTTAATATAGGATAAATCAAATTTCTCCATCACTCTGGGAGGTAAATAATGCTCCAGTCTAAAATAAGACATACCATGAACCTAGGAAGGAAAATGCTTTTGTGAGTAATTCTGTTTGCTTTCTTCCTCCTATCTTAAAGTTTTTGCCTTGACTAAGAGATAAGATGCTTCACACTACTCTCTATGTGTGAGCATTAGGGGAAATGTATCAGTCTTGCTCTTTTATTCAGTGAGGCAGAATGACTGACAAGTTTGGGCCAAGTGTCACTGTAATCAGGGGCTAACATTGTGAAGGATGTTGTCTGAGTGGCAGTTGCTTGCTCCTTGTTCCCTCTTAGATGTATTTATTTATATTCAGCAACATTAGGCCTTAGACATCTGTTCTTCATACAGTGTGCTCTGCCAGGATCTCAGTCCCTCAGTGAATGATTCCATCTGGGAAGCAGACAACCCATTTGATTCTGATTTGGCTTGTAACTCCTGGCGTGAGTTATACCAGTGTGGTCACTCTGAGGCACCAAACTAGCTTCAAAAATTGCCAGAGCTAATAGCAACAAACTCAACCAGGTTTAGTCTTTAATTACACTAGATGAGAACATCCACACTAAAAGTGATGCTGGATAAGGAAAAATAAATCTTACATCTGGTTGATAATCTCCATACTCAGCCTGGAGAGCCAGAGATGCCAGCAGCAAACATGTTTCATCATCACAGTGCATCCTCTCCTCCAAGATATCTTTGCGCAGCTGAAGATAGTACTGATGACATGTCAGAGTATGTCTGGAAAATAAATGCATACACAACACATCCAGGTTTTAGATACTAAATACTGGGACTGACTTTTGACATAGAACTTCAGTTTCCAAGATGTTTGGAATTAGGTGTTATAAGCAAAGAAATTTAATAAGCTATTTTATGCTAAAGAGGATATTACCATTGATCAGGGATCAAATAATTCAGTATCAGTAAATTAGAGAGTCAAAAGATGAGACGCCGAGAAGAGGACAACAGAAGCTCCTATGTACTCACTGTATTAGACTAACATCATCCATGAAAAATTTAATTCGGAAAAACAAAGTAAACTGAACAGTGGCTTTGCCCTTTTTCTTTGGTTCTTCTTTCCATCCCTCTGGGGCCACTTTGGTTAATTTCAAATCAGGATCAACAAAGAAATATTCATTATCTAGAACAAAATGAGGAAACATGCAGATAAAATGAAAATACTTTAATGTACTCTTTTTGGTGGCTAGACTTCCACAAAAGTTTCATATGAGAACAAAATAAGTTTTTAAGAAGTACAGCAGGGAGCTCTGAGGCACTGCTGTAGAAGGGAGACAATCTGCCTAAGCCTTTTATGAACGAGGGCTCTGAAGACACGTAACTGGACTCAGCGGCAGACATGTCCCTTACTATTTGTGTGGCACTGAAGGGTTACTTAACCTTTCTAGTAGCAGTTTTCTTGTTTATAAAATCAGGGTAGTGTTAGTTCTTTTGGGGTTGGTGTGGAGATCAAGTAATATAATGGGTAACAAACACTTGAGAAAACAAGGGGCACATAACAAACATTCAATAAGAGATATTTATATTATTGAACTTTTAGCTAAAACCTAGGGGAAAAAATAGCCATTTTATTTTTAATGTCTTCTGTTAAGTATTGAGTTTCTCAAAATAAAAGGATTATTCATGCTTACCTAGAATGTTTAGGGAATTAAGTGTTTTATGAATGAACATTCTAGTGAACTGAGTATCTTCATGTGAAGAGTATTACTTGAAAAGACAAATTTTAAGTAGTAAAGTGACAGAATAACAGTAGGTACTACATGAATATTTAATGAATGATTTAAATGAAATAATAGTTCTTAAAAAACAACAACTCAATAAGCTAAGCTGATGAAATACTTTTTTTATGATAGATACATCATGATCTTGTAGACTTTCAAGACAACTTGCTATTTACGGCACTTTGTTGTCTTAAGCTTTCTACAGTAAATTTTGGGGTAAATAGAAATATATTATACTGAAGGCTATTTCATAAATAATGATTTATTAAAGAAAGATGAAAGCCCAGTGAATTTCATACTGCTATGGCTTTCAAATTGATATAAACAGCTTCTATTGAAGCTGTGCTGAGACCACTATAATTGTGAATGCCAGAGTTCAATAAATGTAATGTTTAAAAACATGTGAAAAGACCCAGTTATCAACTGACAACATACAGAAAAAATACTATATGGTTCTAGAATAGTGGGCAAAAGAGTTGATGTGAAAATTGTATAGTAGGTTCTGTTAAATATTTAAATCAAAGAGCAGTATACTAACTTCTTGAGTATAGATGTAAAAAATTGACATATATTATGGGCACCAAAATATAACAATTAAAATATATTTTTATATTTCAAAGTCAAGAAAAATCTTCATTAGCAGGTGCATAGGGTAATAAAAGATATAGCTATGAAAACAATGTGCCTAGTTGGGACATGTCAAAAATTTATCTCTTACTTCTCAATTGAACATGTATGTTCATTTGGTGAGTATTCCACAAAACAAGATCAGGAATAACAGGCAGAGAAAGCCAGACTGTTGTCAGGTTTCCATACTTACCATGAATTTAAAGCGAACACTAGCAAGGATGTAAAACAATGGTACTTCAATAACAGTTAAAAAAAAAAATGTCTTCATACCTTTGAGGGTAGCTAAAGCAAACAAATGGTGTTCCACTAAACCAATATGGGCCACAACCATATCAAACACATCTTTGCATATAGTTTTGGTATCACAGGTCAGCTCCAGTCTCTGCCCACTCAGAAGCATTATGCTCACTTTTCTTCGGTTATCCTCATTTTTCCCTTTCTTGGTCTACAATTCAAAATAACAGATGGCATTTTTGAAAGTTAATATTATAAAATTTTTCACTGTTCCCTAAAAAAAAAAATCACCATTACTGAAAGCATTGTCTAAGTGAGACAAGTAGTTTTATTACTTACAAGGATAGATCGTGGCAAATCCAAAGATACAAATGGTTCAATCGTCATTTTCACAAACTCAGGACCAAAGAAATTCTGCAAATCACATAAACAGAATCAATACACTTACCATTTATTTTAGGCCTTTCTTGAAAAGGAATAATGTCATAATAATAATGAGAATGACAGATGCAAAGTCATTGTATTTGAGCTAGATGATCTGAAACAAATATTGAAACTTTCAATTAAAAAATACATTAGAATTTCTAAGGCCAGGAATGGAATACACCTCACATCATAAGTGAACAGCTTTTCTTCAGGTTTTATTTTCTATCAGTAGTGTAAAGACTTAGTTTGTCTTGCAAATTTAATATTTTGACTGTTAGCTAGACTTAGACTCCCATCAAGCTCATGAGAATTTGGTGTTAGTGGGAATGTAAATCTAGCCATTATGGAAAACAGTATGGAGGTTCCTCAAGAAATTAAAAATAGAAATTCTACATGATCCATTGACCTCATTCCTGCGAATTTACCTCTCAAACACAAAACATTATTTGAGAAGATACATGCACCTCCATGTTTATTGCACACTATTTACAATTGCCAAGACTGGAAACAACCTAAGAGCCCACTGACTGACAAAGGATAAAGATAATGCTGCTATATACAGTCTCTTATCAGTTTTGCGGGGTGCAGATATTTTCTCCCAACCTGTGGGGTGTCTATTCGTCTTGGTGATAGTCTCTTTTCATTGTACAGAAAATTCTGTTAGTTTGATATAATCCCAGCTGTTTCTTTTCCTTCATTTTCTTTGCTTTAGAGACTGAGTCTCTAAAGATGTTTCTGAGATGTATGTCATGGAGTATTTTGCCTTTGTTTTCTTCCAGATATTACAGTTTCAGGTCACACATTTCAGGTCTTTTAACCATTTTGAGTTGATCTTTGTGTACAGTGTGGGACAATAGTCTAGAGTCACTCTTTTGTATGTAGTGGTCCAGTTTTCCTAGCACCATTTATTGAAGAGACTGTCCTTGCTGCAGTGCATACTCTTTGCTCCTTTGTCATAGTCCTCCATTCTTCCTTTTTCCAGTCAGAAGTGCTTTGGCTAGAATATCATTGCTAAAGCCATAGTTAAAGGACACTACCTACTTTGTGATTACAAAATACCATACATATCCAATGTAATTAGATTCTTATACTTTTTGTTCTAAATAGTGGCAACTGAGGACATTATAGGCATCATAGTTTCTAGCCACCTCTTGCTATCTTAGTGAGAAAATACCATCTCAGGAACTGAGAGGACTTGGGTCTAGGGAAAGTGGAGTCGATATATCCAGGGGGGGGGTTGGAAAAAGGGGAGACTTAGTGCAGAAGACAAGGCTAAATAAACTCCACTTGGGTACAGGAATCAGAAATGATTAAAATACCAAGTCCAAGCGAACAAACAGTAGAAAGAATGCACAGCTAATCTTGAGACCAAAGGGAGGTAGTATGTTCATGGATTCATTGTGTTTGAACCAGTGGATGGTACTGGAATTTTATCATTGTTGGTTTCTCCTTGCATTTGGCTGTTTACAGTTTATTTGTTTACTTGGTGAGGGATTTTATCCAGTTAACTGAGTGTGGAACATGTGACAGACACTATTAAGTAAAAGTTTAACATTAAAATTTTAATACTTAGTGTACCAACGAGACATATTTTAAAGAAAAAACCACTAGAACAGAAAAACGAAGATAGTCAGCAATGAGAAACAGAATGGATAAAGAAATTAAGTAATAGGGTATAAGTCAAACTCTATTATCAAAAGGAATATAGAAAAAAATTAATAATTTATGATTCAGAAAGGCTACTAATTCAGTTGTGAAACTGCTCCTCTAAATCCAGTATTCTTTTTTAGCCTCAAAAACAAACTCTTCTTGATCCTTTCATAAAAGAGACAATGCAGTTCTTTGATGACTAGTAATTCAAATCCCTACTCATTGATATGGCATTTTTCTGATAAAGAAATGTTTGTTTTGAAATAGAATCTGATTGCCTGAAAAGGAAGTAAGATTTTAGTGAGATGACACATAACAATGGCAAATTGTAAAGGTATGGATCACCACTTATGATTCTCTAATGAGTCAAAGTTTTGGGTTAGTTCTCTGAACCTATGTTTTATTAAAAAGGTGTATCTGTATGTGTGCCCTTTGTTTTAAGTGTGACTTTAATTACCAGGAATTCACACTATTTTTTGTATGACATCCTACCTGTTGCTTAATTTTGACAAAGATGTTAGTTATAATGATGAATTTATAAAACTTTGAATTTCTTCCTTTCAGGTTAAATTAATTGATTTTACTACAATGTAATAACTATAAAACTGAACAGTGCTTTATAAATTATAATCCATCTCCACATTAAAAAACAGCATAATAAGATTTAAAAATGTACATACAGCCGTGAAACAGCATTATTAATGATAAAATCCAAGATTTTGAATTTGTAGTTAAATGTAATGTTCACCACACAATATGGTGGTCTCTTTTCCTTATTAAACTATAAAGGAAATGTGAATTACATAAGCTTCAGGGCATACAAGTATGATTATAAGAGAATTCTTTGAAACAAACAGTAGCCAAAAAAATAAAAAAATAATAGGGTAATACATCTTAGAACTGAAAAAATTATCTAGATTTTGTTTTATTAACATTTACTTTACCTTGAAAATTATTTTTAAAGGAACAATGCAAATGAGATATTGTCTCAACTATCATATTGGTATGCATAAGAATGATAATATCCAGAATAGGTAAGGATATGGTGAAATAGACATGATTATAGGAAGCATGAATTAGTAGAAACATTTTTTCCCTATCAATCAACATTTGTTTACTGAGAAACTACTATATATTCATGACTATACAAGATGCTCAGCAAAGGAGGATAAAATTTTTGCTGAGAGTCACAGAAATTGTTCTTCAATGGTCTGTTAACTATGTAGCTTTCTTCTTTGAGTTTAGGAATGGGTTTTTTTTCTACTGATTTCAATTCCCTAGCAATGGAGAGCAAAGTATTGGGAGCACAGTAAGAATGTTATATTAAATCAAAAAGCAGAAATCCACTTATTAGCTTTCAAAAATTTCCAACCCATTTGTTCAGCACATCTAGGAAAAGAAGTTTTCATCCATATTGAGTTATTTTAATTAAAGCTGTGGCCTTCCTCCTACCAGGTTATAGTTTTGCCTAAGTTGGTTGATTCTACTTAATAATGAGTAGCTATAGTAGGTGGTACTTTAATATGGAATTGTATTGTTTGTTGTCTTACTAAGATGTAAAAGCCCAACTACTTTTTGCCTTTCCCCTCTTCATTTATGTTTTTGAGGAAAAGTAGGTCTATATTATTGTATCTGCTTTGGGGGTTATAGGTTCAAACCTCTACAAATGTTATGCCTTCATACCGTGCCTACAGCTAATGCCCAATTAATCCTCCACTGTGTTCCTTGGGGTTCCCTGGCTCCCCAACTCCACTCCACAGCCCGCCCCTCTGGTTGCCTCATTCCTGCAGTAAGATGTCAGGGTATACTATTGATTTGGTCTTGCCAGACAGCTTGCCTTGTTTTTCTATATTCCAAACATAAATGAGGCTACTTAGTATTTGTCTTTCACCTTCTGATTTAATTCACTTAGCATTACCCTCTCCAGGTCCTCCATGTTGTGACAAATGACAAGAGTTCATCTTTTTTTGATTGCTGAGTAGTATTCCTGTGTGTGTGTGTGTGTAGCAGACACACACACACACACATCTATAAACCAATTTTCTTTGTCCTTGGGCACTTTGGCTGTTTCCATAACTTAGCTGTTGTAAACAAGGCTATAATAAACATAGGTGATACACAAATATTTTGAAGGGCAATTTGACAAAATGTAACAACTGTCTTAAAAAGTAACTGCCTTGACCTGGCTTTTTTATTAGGGAGACTTTATCTACAGATTTAACTATAAGGATATTCATCAGAGGATGGCTTGCAGTAGTAATGACAAATTAGAAATACTTTAAATGCCCAATAACTGTAAATTAATTAATTAAAAAAGAAAATGATGGTAGATGGCAAATGGAAACTTCACAGTCCTTAACCAAAATATTTAGAAGTCATAAAATGTTCGAGTTATTTAAATAAGAAGAATGTGTTTATTTTAAGCTTACATTTATAAAAATGTATAGGTTATAAACTAATAGAGAAACAAGTAAAGACATAATCAATATCCTTCTACAAATATCATGTACATATTTGTTCATTTCTGTCTTTACATATTATAGTGTGATGATATAATTCTCAGAGGTAATGTAGTCTGTCATCTTTTGACTATAGAATGAGTTACTGAGAATGTCAGAGTGGAAAGATGGAATGCATTTGATAACATTCTTCAGCGTCTGAACTAAGCCTAAAATCTCTACCTCTGATTTTCTTGTTTGTGGAATAAATTTCTTAATCAAAAAAAAATTCCCTCACAATACCAAATTAAAAAATATTCAGTTAAGGTACTCTAATTCCATCTAATGTTATTTTAAAAGTGAAATCAATGAAAATTAAATATGATTTTAATATCAATGGACAAGATATTTAACACCGATGTACCTAATTTGGCAAATTTCAGATACTTACAGCAATTTTAAAGAGTACTTTTTATAACAGTTCCCTGTAAGACCAAGTTTACAAGTGGAAAGCTGACAGGCTACTTACCCTCAATTTTCTTTGGGTCATAGCTGTTTCTAGAGCCATTTCTCTTAAAGGATCCCTGGTGATGTCAAGCATGGAAGCCTTGATTGTATCTCCTGGATACAAGCTCAACCGGGATTGTCGAAGGGCCATCCTGGCTTGTAGCTGCATCATTTCTTCCTCTTGACGCTTTAACATTATTTCTTGATTAATTAAGTTACCTTCAAGAGGAGTTTCATATTGTCTGCTATAAAAAGAGGGAAGAAGAAAAGGGTGCAAAGAAAGCAATTATCTTCTTAAATGTAATTGAGAAAAAAAGGTAAATATTAAGAATTTAAGCAAGTTTTACTTTTCATTTCAGAAGATACCTTGTAGTTAACATTATAGTGCTACTTCTGATGTGTTGGATAAAGTAGGTTCTGTTATTTTCAGTGGTACATGAAAATACCTATTCTCTGAACATTCCAGCATATTCTTAAAGCTACTCCACTTGGAAGTGATCTCAGATAGAGGCTGCCTCAATCTTACAGTATTGTATGACTGGCCCAATGGTGGCAATAGAGATTTCCATTCATTTTCACTTCAGCTGTCAAACCAGTTGACCCCTCCTCAAATAGTCTTCACCTTTTCTACAGTACTGCTATGAAAGTTCACCACCCACTGCTCCATGTTGCTCTAGACATTTATTGTGCTATGGATCAATGATTCCTTATTCACTAAAGATTTAAATGCCTGACTCAATCTATTTTTTCCCACCACTTCTGTCATCATTCATGGTAGACATACATAGACTGAGAAATCTCCTACATTCTTGCCTTTTCCATTTCAGCCAGCAATCTATATCATGTGTTAAAACCATAACATCTCTAAAATTTCCCATTTCTGTTTTCCAATACTCTAATATCGTTTTCTTTTAATTCACTTCCTTCTATACTCTGCTTCACATGGACTCTATGAAGAATTTTAATCCACAGATCCAGTCACATTGTTGTCTAAATCCTCAGGAATACCGTTAAAATCAAGCCTTTGTTGACAAATAAAGCTAGCCCAATAACAAATCTTAGAAATATGACTATACAACTGATAACTATGAGCTCAGTAGGGAAAGTAGGGAGGATAACCTACTAAGGTGAAAGACTACTGGTGCTTTGCTGGAGGGTGTGGTTTGGTAACAATCAGGCAGGAAATCATATACCTCTAAATCAAGCAATGCTGCAATCCAAAGTTACGTAAATAAACATAATTGATCATTCCTTTGCACAGACCTCAACTCTCACAAAACTGTACAACCATGTTGACTAATCTCACCAGGCCTGCAGCACTATCTGGAGACACATGTCTTTCCCAAATTCTAATATCATCTCTCTCTCAACTAATGCTGGTGCTTCCTTTTCTTGATGAAATAAGAAGCGATCAATAACTTTTTAATTCTTCTACCATCAAACCTTCCAAATCTATATCCACATGTGCTGCTATCTCCTTTGCCTCGGTAGATGGATCTCCTGCACCCGTATATAATCACTACTGTGCATGTATTCCTACCCCTCTCCTCTACTCAAAGACTTTGCTCTGAGATCAATAATCTCAAAGATTACATTATTCTCATTAGCATAAAACCAGCCTGCACTATCTCCTACTTAGAACATAAAATCCTCCTTTGGATCCACATTTCATTCTAGATTATTCATTTTCCTGCTATCTTATAGAGTAAATCTCTTCAGATTATTATTTAAATTTTACATCTACTTCACTTCTCATTCTCTTTTGGGTCAGACCAAGAGCTCTAAGCCCTACTATTCCACCAAAACTGGTCACAGAAATGACTGACCTCTGTTATCAAAGTCCAGGGATAATTCTCAATTTATTTGGTCTATAAGCATCATATGATATGGTTGCTCAAACCTGCTTCTTGAAACATTTGATTTCTGGGAAACCGTGTTCTTTATGTTTTCCTTCTACTTTAAAGCTTCTCTTTCATTTGATCCTCTTTCATTTCTAATCTTTTAACATGACAGTACAAGTACTCAGAAATTTCTAGTCTCTGTATATATTACATACCTATGTATTTTCATCTTGTTACATTGATCTAATTATCTTATATATTCCTAAAACTATAATCTCTTCCCTGAATTATAGACAATTCACTTTCCTAGATAAATTTTTACCAAATTCTTGAAAGTTTCCCTCAACACATAACCTTCTGTCATCCATCAGCAGCTTAGACACCAATTAATATCACTTGATTTTACTCTTTTGCAAATCTTGCATCCATCTGATCATCAAATCTTAAAAGGCACAAATTTGAAGATACCTATATACAATTCTTCTCCATCACTAACAACTTGATCTGTACCTGCCCAACTCAAATGGATTACTGTGATAGTTTCTTATTGTGTGCTCTCCACAGAACGTAACACAGTAATGAAATTAAACTGTAAATTAGATATGGCTTTTCCATGTTTTCAATCATTCAACATCTTTATATCATACTTGGAATAACATCCTACAGAGTCAGCCTCTGTAGTCTGACGTGGTTTGGGTCCTGGTAACTATCCATCCTGTCCATCATTCATTGTGCTGTAACCAAAATGCCTTTCCTGCTATTCTTCTAATATGCAATACATCTCATACCTCAGGGCATCAGCTCTTGCTGTTCCTTTTGTCTGGAACATGATTTACTGGAAAAGTTTAAATATCACCCCATGGAAAGACCTCCTCTGCCACAGTATATGTACAACAGTATTCAGACATCACATCCCTGCATTCTCTTTTTAGCCTACTTTATTTTTCTTCAAAATATATCACTATCTAATGATTTAAAAAAAAATGATTTAGGCCCTCCCTGGTGGCGCATCAGGTTAAAGCACAGAACAAAGAAGCTTAAGCCACTTCACATGAGTTCGATCCCCATGTGCCCTGGAGGTGATGACCATATGGTACGGCAGATCTCTCCTGACCCGCCCGCTGCCCCCCTCAGCAGTGTACTTCGTCAATCTGCCTGTTCTGCTCCCCACTCTGTCTCTGGTGAATCCTCTCACCCTCCGTCCGCATCTCTGGCCTGTATCCCAGTTCTGTACGAATAAATAAATCTTAAAAAAAAAAAAAATCATTTATTGGCTATCTCTCACTCTAGAAAGTTTATTGAGGGACTTTTTCTGTCTTGTTCATGATGCTTTTTCTACCAGCACACCTCAGGTGCACAATAACTATTTGTTAAGAAATTTATTGAATATAATTTCTTGACTCCCTCTCATTTAATGAGCATTAAGGATAAGTAGAATTTGAATCCACAAATTTTAACTCATAACCACTATTTCCATTAACTATATTTGCCTTGTTGTTAAAATTATTTTGTGCCATAACTAAAATAACTGATTAGCATTTTATCTCTCCCAATACAATATCTGATAGAAGGTCCTAAGGACTGAAAAGTTTGAGAGGTAAATAAATGAAATAAACAAATGAACAAAAATTCCATAAAATCTGTACCATTTAGTAATAAATAAGATGTTTTGAGTCAGAAAAAAGTTACTTTATTAAGCAAACAGGCATAGAAGCAGTAGGAATTGTACTATATATAAATTATACTTCAAAAGTTAACACAGAAAAGGCTTAGAGATGCTCTTTGGAAAACAGCTTTGAATACTCTTTGTGGTCACTGAAAGACACTTTTTGATAGCTCAGAATCCAAAAATTACTCATTCTGTTGTATGTGACTCATAATTTCCTGTTAATCTCTCCCCCCCCACCTCCCATGATACAAATCAATAGCACTGTCTGGATCTGTTTTTCCATTTCAATCTAGCTTAAGGGAATGGAAATTATTATAAAGAAGCATGCAACATGTCTAAATACAGCACTATTTATAGAACTCACTAATATGTGACCTAAAGAACACAGCAAGATCTCCTTATTGTGTAGCAGCATGTTAAGGGTATTATCAGAAATCTTTATACACATTCAGAAAATTCTGTACCCGAACAGAAATTTAGACAGCATCTTAGAGTGTTTTTTCCTGTGGGCAGAAAAGATGGAACTCATCTTAAAGAAGTGGAGTTTAGGATCTTAAATTAAGTATGGCAGGGATCTAGCAGTGTAGTTTTCCTTGACAAATTTTCCTTTTACTCTACCTATAAGGAATGAACACCTTGGAGTTTTGTTTCCCCTCTTCAGGTGGGAAACAGAACACACTTTATCACTAATACAGGATTTGGTAAGTGTTAATGTAAATGTTTCCTATAATAAAACCTGGAAACAATCAAACTAAGATTCACTAATAACCTTGACTTTTTGAAAGAAAGCTCACAAAATAATTTTGTTTGGACTTGACAGTAAATCAATCGTTAACACATAATCCCAATGATTCTTACAGTTATCATCTTTATTCCTGCTTTTGATCAAGTTTAAAAGGGCATCATATCAACCACTCATAAGTTTTCTGCAAATTGCAATGTATTAGATTACTTGGAGTCTAAACCCTGGATAAATTATCTGCTTTAACCACATGACCAGCATTACCCATCTATTAATAGTTTACTGGTGTGAAACAGTGTCTGCCAGAAGTAGTTAGGGGGCAAGTTTTTGTTAACTTCCAAATGATTCTTTTGTATGCAGTAGCATTTAAATGAACTGAGTCACTGAGTTTTAAGGTATTCCAGAGTTGAGGAATAAATTCTGAAGCGATTTCTGGTTTTCTAGCATCATTGCAACTTTTAAGTTAAAGTTTAATATAAACAACATGGCTTTGTTCATGAAAGGGGCCTGTGTAAACATGAAAAGAATGTGAATGCACAACAGTATATACACTATAGACTTCACATTGTTCAGTTAGAAAAAGTAAATCAATATACAGATGCAACATTTCCATCATAAGTCCAACACTTGTATAATACTTAATACCTAATAAGAAAGTTGATTATTTCAGTATGAAAATGAAATCCAACCAGCCTAAATTGGGTTTTTAAAAATAAATCAGATAACCTCTCTTAAACCAGAAATGATGTAGTGAATGATTAACTTTTTACACGCTAGGTTACTTATTATTCATTAAACAAATACTCACTGAAAGCTGGCTTGTTGGTTCTGTATGACCTTTCAAAGAGCTTTTATTCTTTTATTAATTAATGCTAGACCTTCAGAAATTCCTGTTTATGTTTACTAAGTATGTACAGACAATTTTAGAAATAAAGCACAAAATTTGATGAGAGTCAAGTTCAAAAGATTCCAGTAACTCAAACCATTGCAACATAATTTAAGCATTCAAATGAATTTATAAGAACATAGAGGAAAAGAAAAACAGACAATAGAGTTAAGAGGATCAATTTTAAAACTGTTTATTTTAAGATGTATTTATTTACGCATACAAGAACTGGGGTATATGCCATAGGTGTGGGGGCATGAGATGACAGAGTCAGGAGCAGAACAGGTGGATGTACTGAAATATACTGCTGAGGGGTACAGTGGGTGGTTCAGGAGAGCTCTGCTATCCCATGTGGGTCACCTCCCTGGTCAGGGATTGAACTTGTGCTGCAGTGGCTGGGTCATAGTATTGTGCTTTAACCCATTTTGCTACCAGGGAGGACCCTAAATTTGCTGATTCTAACAGGGAAATATAAAAGTACCTGTCACTAGATATGTACTATTACATTCTTTCACATTACATACCTTGGTCTCTGTGACTGGCCTTGACCTGGGATTTCATCTACCCCTGGGAGACCACTGCAGGATTCAAACCTCTTTGAAGCTTCACTTTTTCTTACTAATTCTAAATGAAAAAGGAATTAGCATAGGTGGTAAAATATGAGGTGATCTTATTTAGAACTCATTTAGCAAAACACATGAAATAATTTCTAAAAATCATATTACTATTACCAAACCGATAACATAAAGTTACTAAAACTGTTGGAAATAAGTAGACAGTATTTCCATTATGGAGATGATAATTTTTACATGAAATGACTGTTAAGTTCCTATGACACTGTTAAAATGAGTAACCAGAAGCTTTTTAAATTTTATACAGATTTATTCTTTTGTCACCTTTGTTTCAATACTAGTGAAAATTAAAAAAAAAATCATGGTTTCTTAAAAAAAATTTGCTTGTGTCAGATACCTCTTACCTTGTCTGAAATCTGATTCAGAAGAAATAATAGATGGACTTTCACTGGAGATACTAAAGATATCACTGTGGTAAGTTTTGTATCTTCGAATTGGTTCTGAAAGGATCAAACAACAAAAACAAAGCAAACTCATTAGTTGTTCACACAAATAAAATATGCTTATTGTATAAAACTACATCATTTTATATATTGCTTTAAATTTACCAATCGTGGGACCGTACTCAAATAACGTGATGCCAATTTTGAGGCAGCTTGTCACATTAGCTACGAGACTGGACTCTGATGCCACACTGCCTGGCACTCCACTACCTTACTAGGTGTGTTATTTTAGGGAGTAATTTCACCTTCTGTGACTCATTTTCTTCAGCCGAGAAGGGGGTATTACAATGCACAACCAGATAGGGTTGTGAGCATTCAGTGAATTACATACACAAAGCTTTTAGGATATTATCAATGTAATTTTCTATGGTGCTGTGATGGATAGAAAAGTCAAAGGTATGGTCCCAAAGTCAAAGAACAAAATACAGAAGTACACAAATAACTCAAGACACGCTGTTCAGTTCTACCAGAATGAGATAAACTAGCGCGGAGAGTGGGGTACTTGTGTAGGATTGTACAGAGTGCCTTATCGAGGGGACAGGGCCCTACTAAAACCTAAACTGTGCCTTCTAAATGCTTCTGACTCAGCCCCTTAATACCCGCAATTGTTCTCAGATCATTATTCATTTCATGCCTTGACTACTGCATGTGCCCTAGAGTGACCTTCTACAGTTTCCTGCCATAATTCACATTATGGAGCGTGAACTTTCCAGAAAAGAAAGTCTAAGCATATTCTTCTATTTCTTAAACTTCAAACTGAAATCTTTAAAAAAAAAAAAATTAGAAATCACTTACGTTGGCATTCAAAGCCTTTCGTAAACTGGTCCTCGACTATATTTATAGCAGCAGCTCACCACAGTGTTCATATTTTAGAATCAGGTGAAAAGTATAGACCTCTCTCTACTTCCAAAACACACATATTCACAAAAACTTAAAAAGAACTTTAAAATCTCAATCCCTTGTTCCTGACCTCATTACCACTTGCTCTCCTAGACACATTTTGCCCTCGTGTTACTGAATTTGCAGATAAAGCAAAGACCTTGAGATTCCCTCCAGATATATACTCTCAGTGCTAGGAAGACAGTCTCACTCCCGCTCTTTATATGAATAGCTGTAATTTTTCTTTTAAAAAAAAGCCTCACCTTCTCTATGAAAGCTTTCATAACTACCTAATGACTGAAGGGAAATACTGCTTTTCTTGCTTTCATATACTTTGCTGCAACTCTTCTGCTTAATAGTTCTCTACTCCATTTCCTTACCTAAATTATAAACTCTGATAAAGAGGGTAGTGTCTTTTTTTTTTTTTTTTTAGAAATAATGCTGGTACCTGGCAATTGTTTCATGTATAGCAAATACAAAATAAATACTTCTGAGGGAATCTGAATTAATGGATAAATGTTTTATACTAAGGTTATTTTAAAGGCACTGTTTCCATTGCACAGACAAATCAGCAGCCAAATCAGAGAGGGTAGATGTTAAACAGTTGAGAAAATGAGAATACATGATTTTTTAAAAATGACTTCAGGATCTGATAAGGAAAAAATAATATTTGTAAACAAAATAGAATGTGTGATAAGGGTCTTTTTGGCAGGCTGGATATATCTGAGCACGATTTCAGGGATCAAATAAAAGTCTAGAGTTTGAAGAGATTGAAGTTGCAAATGATAGTGGGGAGAATTAGTGAGAAATGTGCTGGCGGAGCAGAAGGAAACCTACAGTATGCATGGGTTGGTTGGTTAAGCGATGAAGGAGAAAGAAATGACTGGCAACACAAAGAGTTAAAAGTACAGAGTAAATCCCAAGCCACTCATGTGAGGGAGTTGTCTTACTCCTAGTAATAAAAAGTGAATCACTTCCTGGGAGCCAGCTTGGCTGGGAGATTGGAAAGAGGAAAGAAATTCTGCTGTGAAGAGCATGATAAGAGTCAGCACAACCACAAGAAAGCACTTGTGTAACCATGAGAGTTAAGATTAGGCTAGATGGAATACATGAATTTTATTGGAACTAGTCAGAATGGTGTGGTGACTTTCTTTGTCACTAGAGAAAATAGATTATGGGAAATACCCAGAATGGAACAATGATGTGAAATGTGTAGCAGCAGATAATCAAGGAATATGAGGGAATATTTTCTACTAGCACATAAATTTGAGGGCAGGGTCTGCACAAAATGAATTACTCCTTGTACTAACAGGAACTCTATGGAAAATATTAAGAAATGAATGAACAAAATAATTAAATGACACAAGAATGAGGCTTACAAAACCAGGATGGACATGATGGACTAGTAAAACTGGGAAGTTAGGCTGGGAAAAGCTTTAAATAAATGAGACATGTAGAAGGATAGATGACTGCTCACAGACTTGATAGAACTGTTTATCTGGAAAAGTAGGGATAATATAGTAGGACTGCCAGTTTATCAAGGTTTGCATGTAATGAATGTAAGTATCAAATAATACTATCACTGATGGAAACAGCTGCGAAATTGAAAACGCCAAGTATTTCCCAATATTTTTTAAAAAATGATTCCATTCCACTATGGGATATGTTCATAGTAAAATTATTAAGAAATTTAGAAAACTCCTCTGGCTTAAGATGAATGTGATTTAAAAGGACTGTAGAAGATTTAAATAATGCTTTTGTTAAATACTACTTTAAATTTAGGGATTTTCCCAAGGAAACCAGACCAAATTACAAACCTGGCTCTGTAACATATGGTAAAAGCAACATGGTCAAGAGGACCCAAATGTACAGACAATATGGTTTTACTTTTTAAAGAAAGGCAGAAAGTCACAATAAACCTATTCAGTAAACAGAAGACTGAACTTCAGCCACATGGAATTTCTATCATGTAATAACAACTCCACATCTCATAATAAATGAATTTACTGGTTCATTACTTTATCTACAAAGTGGCTTCTAGATAGAAAATAAATATGAATTCATTTTCCATTCTTGGTGGTGCTTTGTAGCTATTTCACCTGTTTCTAGTTTCTCACTAGTCTATGTTTTTCTTTATTCTTGAGTTTGACCCACTAGTAAACTTTTTTGAACTTGAGATACTTCCGCAAGAAATTAATGTAACTTTGACAAAATATGACAGAAATTCTTTTTTTAAAATATGACAAAAATTCATCTTCCCTTGGTGAACTATCAATTTGTAAATATTCTCATTACCACACGTGGGGGGCAGGGGGAGAGAGGAGAATGCCTTATGATGTTTTACCACATTATAGGGGCAGGGCACTAGCGCTCCAGAAATCCAAACTGAATAACTAACTAGCTTGGAATGTCTCTTGGGGCTATGCTTTTTTCTAGACTGGGGTAGGGATGAGGACTTTATGTAAATTAAAGTGGTAAAAATCTTTTTTTGGGCCTTCCCTGGTGGCGCAGTGGGTTAAAGCACAGCACTGAGAAACTAAAGCCACTTCAGCATGAGTTCGATTCCCGCCTGCCCCGGAGGTGACCACATGGCGTGGCAGACCTCTCTTGGCCTGCCCCTGCTTCCCTCAGCAGTGTACTTAGTCAGCCTGTCCTACTCCCCATTTGTCTCTGGTGACTCTTTTCACCTCTAGCTTGTACCCCAGTTCTGTATGCATAAATAAATGAATATTTTTAAAAAAAATCTTTTTGTGTGAATTTCTTATGTTCTGGAATTTTTCTTTTAAAATCTTCTTAGTGTTTCTTTCATGTAATGACAAGGCAGATATAGACAGATTATAGTTCCCAGGCAATATTTACTACTCAGTCATGCATAAAAGAAGTTATAATCAGATTAAAGTTCTCAGCCAAAATTTACTACTCATTCAAGCTTATAAGCAAGTTTGGCTCTTGTAATTATGGGCTTTCCATTTCTGGATTAATAAATTTTACCAATCCAGGAATTATAATAACATTATATGTCCTTTACCAAAAGTATCTTGTACTGGTATATAAGGAAAGACATTGTTCATGCTTACAGACACTTTGTGCAGGAACATTTCTTGGCTTTCTGAGATGACTTATGTAAAGCCATTCAGTTCTAGCTGATGGGCAGCTTTCTTTGTTCTGAGCGTAGGAGGGTGCTTTTTCATTTTCTAGGAGGAATCTAAATGCTATTAAAAACAACTTTTCTTTTTGAAACTCTAGACCACCACAAATGAGCTTTCTATCTACACTTAAATGTACTAGCCAGCACTTCAGATTTGTGGTACTGACTGGATCACTAAAAAAAAATATATACTATGACAACTTGTAAACAGTCATGAAAACAAGTCTTCAATAAGTTTTCATGTACCTGTTCCCTAGCATTAATAGACCTACTAATTGCTATTTTAACAAGAAAGTGTCAGACTTTTTTAAAAAAACAGAATCTCTGAAATAGTTATAAAATATTACAAAGTGTTCTGAATGCCAGAATTCCTGAATCAGGTGCTATCCCCTATTAAGAATATTCCAATACATGTAAAATGCCTATGTAGCCATGAATTTGCAATTCTAAAATTATCATAGCAAATTTTAAACTTTCACCATTATGACAAAAGACCATCATTTGTTTGCCTCTTGTGGGTAAAATCAGGCTTAAAGTCTAATGTTTCTGTTTGCAGAAACAAAATTTCCTTTCTCAACTAGTTAAGTATTTAAATTAAGTTTACATAGTACAAATTAGAATACCAGGGACCATTTAAGATAATTTTTTATAACTCATTTTACTACACAAATTCCTTCTTTTTGATTGACTATGAGAACTTATTTTTCAGATGTGGAAAATAAACTTGTAGGAAACAAATCTTTGTGATAGAAATAATAAGCACAAGATAACAAAAAGAATTATAAAATTAACCTGAGAACATATTGCCTAAAGAGCACCAAACTGGATTTGTGTAACATGTGCATATAAACATATAAGAATATTATCTCTAAGAAACATTTTGTAGAAAAGTGGTGAGAAAATGAGAATAGGGACTACAGAAGAATGGCTTAATGAATTAACACTTCTGGATAGATATTAGGGAGACTGC